TTCTGGGGTGGGCGGGAGATTCTTCATGGCCAGTAAGCTCCCAGGTGATGGCCATGCTGCTAGTCATTTGCAAAGGGGCCAGCACAGCTAGTGCCTTAATACATGAGCACCCCAAAATAATTCAATCTCTCACTTAAAAATTACTGAGAAGAAACCCTTTTTCCTCAAACATAATACCAATCTGCCTATAGCTATGTTCCCATAGCCTTTGCAAAATGGCTCTTTGAGATTGGCCATGGTTGGTCATTTCTGAAGGCAGGTAATCGGTATGTGGGAGAGGTTCATTATACTATTCTCTCTGCTTCTGCACATGCTTAACATTTTCCAAGAAGAAAACCCCAACAGATTTTTAGGGCAGTGACACTATTCTGTAGGATGCAGGTCATCATACATTTGCCCAAACCCACAGAATATACACCTAGAGTGAACCCTAATAGAAGCTATGGACTTTGCGTGATAATGACCTGTCAGTGGAGGTCCATCCATTGAAAAAAATGCACAACTGGGGGATATGGATAGTGGAGTGGCTCCGCATGTGGGGAGGGGGCATGGGGTATATGGGAACTCTCGGTACTTTCAGCTCAGGTTTGCTGTGAACCCAGAACTGTTCTAAATGATGAAGTCTAATCAAGAGAACACCCACAAGGGGCTCGGTTGGTTGAGCATCCAACTTCGGCTCAGGTCATGATCTCACGGTTCGTGACTTCGAGCCCCGTGTCGGGCTCTGTGCTGACCGCTCAGAGCCTGGAGCCTGTTTCAGATTCTGTGTCTCCTCTCTCACTTCCCCTCCCCTGCTCATGCTCTGTCTCTCTCTGTCTCTCCGCAATAAATAAATATTAAAAAAAAAACCCCACAAACAAAAGAGACCTGTTTCCTAACAGCGTGAGAGCTGTAAGAGATACAGGTTGCCTAGTACAGTGATTACCTCCAACAACATGTTCATTAGAAGACAGAAAGCTTTCTTTCCAATTCTGCAAATAAATCCATTCATAACCTTGCCTTCTGTGACCTATGATTGTACAAAAGTAATTTCCCCATCCACCCCAGGATTTAGCACATTTTTTCCCTTACTATTAGCACAACTCACACTTCATTTTCTCACAATGTTTTTTGCATTGTTTTTCTCTACCTTGGTGGACTAAAGTCTGTCCACATCCTCATAACATCATTTATTCTTTTCACTTTATTGAACCAGGGCTTTTCTCCACCTACCCGGATCACATCCGGAACTGCCCAGCTTGCGCGTTCATTAAGTCCATGATTCACAAAACAATTGCCATGCAAAATTGGAAAACGCACAGAGTGAGTTGGACAATCTTCATCTTCCTTGAAGTGGGCCCGGTTTTTATTAGGTACTGAGCTGACACAGTTCAGGATAGGTGCCCCCAAATTTTTGGACGTCTTTTGATTCACCAAGTGATGGGGGCAAGTCAGAAAGAAACTAAATGAACAAAATAAGGAAGCAGCCAGCTTGAGTTTAGTCTGTTTGCATTTCTTTTTCCTCTTGGTTACATAAAGTATAAAGCCTCTCCCAACCAGTGTCCTAATTGATTCCTCTTTTTTCTGCCTATGGCAGGGTCTTTGATGTGGTAACTGGACAAGGCCTCATCCCGATAGCCTGTAGCTGGGTCAACTCTTTGTTATTTTGTTTGGTATTTAATCCTGGAGAGTAATGTTCTGCTCTGGTATGTTGTTTATCACTTCCAGATTATAGGTGTAGCAAATATTTTCCTAATGAAATAATCACGGACTTGGCATTCTCCCGCTGGGCTAACACAGCTAGGCTCTGTGGGGCTCTCCGTCTGGATCTTCTAGTTCCAACCCACTCCCTCCAATTTCCTTTCGGTCCATTTTAAGTTGTTCCTTTTAAGCGTATTCTCTCCAAATGCCAGGGCTTTAGGTGCTACTGGAAATGTTCCATCTTTTTCATAATAACAACGTTTTGAAATGTCAGCGCTGTTTCCGTGTTCATGTTGAAACCCCAAAGGCGTCTTCTCGGCAGCCGCTGTGCTGTCTTTCCCCTTAAATGTTCGCAAATAAAAATATCTAGCAAAGACGCTCATTTCCAGAATCCCTTCTAGAAACCTGAACTTTCCATGCCGACTTCGTACAAGTCCTTTTGAAGTTAACTTGGGTGGCAGAATTGTGCAGGCCTAATGATTTCGAGGTGACAAACACCTGCCGCGACAGATAATTACAACTCTTGCTGTGCATTTCCTGTTTGCCGGCTGCTTTCAGGATGAATCATATTTGTTTCACGATGACAACTATTTCTTTACCTTGTTCCTGATTAAACTCTGTAATACCTATGGCCCCTTGGAGAGTTTGGTTCTTCGTGGTCAGTGCCTTCATGGCAGACAGGAAATAATGGCACCTACATCACGGTCTCAAATATCTCCCTGGAAATTATTTCAAAACAACCGGCCTCATCTTGTGGCACACTCATCCTTGCCTTTTCTTGTGAACTCAACTCTGCATATGAATCGAGCCCCCCCTTTGAGTGCCAGCTCAGATCCTTCCAACTCCTGCAGCATTTGTGGGGTGTGCCACACGCTTGAGCGCAGAACTGGGTCCAAGACTGAGGTTCATCTTGTTCCTCCCTTCCCCCATCCCACCACACTCCAACGCACTGTAAATCCCGGTAGCGCAGGCACACAGTGTGTGATCACCTGCCAGTCACCCAGTTCTCGGTGGTTACAGCCTGTCCAAATGTGACAGGTTTCGAATGAAAGGGAAGGACTTGAGACTAAAGTTGAATTAATCATAACTGCTTTATGATTCTGGGAATCTACTTTGGGAACTCATTGGTTGGGGGGGGGGGTCCTTCTACAAAACTGGGAAAGGACACACTAACGAGAGGAGGAAAGCTGCCTACGAAAGACATTGGTTACAGATTTAGTCTTCAAAAATAACCCCCTTCCAAGATGATAAAGGAATAAATTCCCCCACATGGTGATCTAGCACCTTTATGGTTTTTTTTTTACGTTCAAATCTTTGATCCATTTGGTTTATCTTGGTGGAATGCGTCATTCTAGTTGCTTTCATGCCATTTATCAACCAGTGTGTTATTTTTCTGTTTGGGGATGACACTTCTAGCATATACTAAATTCCTAGATGTATTTGGGTCTATTTCTGTACTTGCAATTCTTTTCGATTGCTCTCTTCATGGCCCAGTACCACAGCTAGAATTATGGGGGTTATATAAATGTTTTAATTTCTGGTGGAATTTCTCCCATTAATCTTCTTTCAGAAGTTTTCCTAGCTGTGCCTACTTCTCCATATGAATCTAGAATCAACTTGTCTGGGGAAAAAAAGAGATACCAAAACCTCTTGGTATTCTTATTGGAACCATGTTAAATTTATGTAACTTACAAACAAGGGAAATTTTCATGTCAACACTGTATGTCCAAGAACAAAAAGATGTCTTTCTACTTGTTCTAGTCTTGGTTTTACCAGGAGTGTCTTTTAGTTTGCCTTATAAAAGATTATGGACTTTAAGTTTAAACCTAGGGTTTTTTAAGTTTTTTTGTTACTCTAAATGGATTATTCTCATTAGATCTTCAAACTGGTGTTTGTGTGTGTATCCATGATTTGGCACTTTGGAATGGTCCGGGGTTTTCTACAATTCAAAATCCAGAAGCCATAAAAGATTCATAAATTCAACTACCCTAGGATAAGGTTTACATGGTAAAAATACCATAAGTGAATTACGCTGTAAGCCACACAAGAAATGTATTTGGATAAAGAAACGGTGGAAGCATATTTACACAACAGTGGTCACTTGAAAGGAGCCGAGGGGACAAAGGATGGGATGGACAGGGATGGCGACTAGTGATTTTTTACTGTACACCTTTGAGTAATCTCTATACTCAAGGCGGGGCTTGAACTCCCAACCCCCAGATCAAGAGTCACATGCCCCACTGACTGAACCAGCCAGACGCCCCTGTATACCTTTTTATAGTTGATTTTTGAAGCATGTGACTCTTACCTATTAAAAAAAATCTAAACAAATTAACTCCCTTGGCAAATTAAGAAACTTAATACATTTTAGCTCACATATCTCACTCCTTCTTTTTCCTATTTAACTCGCGGGAATAGGAGACAGCTTTAGGAAACAGGAGACTAAAACTGAGTTCCTCAGAGGTAACTCAAATAAAATGTGGAAGTCAATGTGAAACTCAGGAGGTCTCCATTTTCTTTTATTTTTTAAAAGTAATTTTTGTCCTTTACAACGGGTTATCTCACACACACGTGTGCGCTTGCACACAGACGCACGCATGCGCGGATGCACACACGTGCACACACACACATACACACAGAGGACTTGAAAGGGACAGAGAAACAAGGATAGCCTCCAAACATAATTTTTTTTACAAAGTTCAAAATAGATTACATTTATGTGCTTTTCAGTCATTACACAATGTCCAGACGTGATCCATTTAATGATTTATCTTCCCCAAATGGTTAAACAGTGAAGATTTTCTCTGAAAGAGTATACGTAGCTTTTACTCTAGAAGCAAAGTACTATTTCCTGCAAAAACCAACCTCAGGCATACATTTTGTGTTTATGTACATTCCTTGAGAATACTACAGTAGCAGGTGCAGAAGTTTGTTCTGTAAAAAGATCTGAAAGATGATTTTCAAGAGACTCAAGGCATTGTGCTCTCAGATAAAAATCCTAAGTCAAGGGGCGCCTGGGTGGCTCAGCTGGTTAAGTGTCCGACTCTTGATTTCGGCTCAGGTCATGATCTCACAGTTCATGGGTTCGAGCCCCGCGTTGGGCTCTGCGCTGACAGCACGGAGCCTGCTCCGGATTCTCTTTCTCCCTCTCTGCCCCTCCCCTGCTCGCGTGCACACTCTCTCTCGCAATAAATAAATAAACTTAAAAAAAAAAAAACCCTAAGTCAAAAGATCAGTTATTATGATAAGAACAGTTCAAACTGCATATATATGGTTAAAGATCAGAGACGCTACAAAGAAATGTAAATAGTTGTGCTTTAGGGGCTTTTTTTTTTTTTTGGTAAAGTTGTTTTAATAAATACAAACTTAAAAAATATCTCCGTGACTGTTATAAAATAGACACGTATCAAGGATTTTGTATACTTGGCTTGGAGTTTAAAGGTGAAAAACATCTCCGTATAAACCACCCGGCATCTGGTAACCCCAGACTGGGCTAGTTGCTTACAGTCAGGCAAAGGGCTAGGAAGAAATGATAAAGTGATTTTTTCCTCCTGTTAACAGAAAGCATTATCCAGAGGTAAAGCCAGGGTGAACCAATTAACTAAACAAATGCCTACCTTCCTTTAGAATTCTTAGGCCAAATAGAGAAGTCACCCTAATTCTGAGGGTTGCAAAAACCCCCACATGCTTTGTGTCTGGACCACAACCTGTGCTGTAGTTCACCAGATGAATGAAATATGTCTGGTCTCCTGTGAGATCCTAGGATAGGATAAACATGATCCCTCAGCACTTTATGCTTTTTCTCTTGGTGCCCTCCACACATTAACCGTGAAACTTATTTTAGAAACACCATGGCAACTGTTTATAATGAGAGGACAAGGTATAATTTACATAGGAACATTGATGTTTGTAGTTAGGAAATGTCATTTTACATTTAAGCTGGTCAGTTTGCTCTTTCAGGCCTTTAACTGTGAAGGACATACGACCTTAATCAAAGTAAATTAGAAAAAAAGATGAGAAAAATAACAGATGGTTAAAGTCTTTTGCATAATCGGTTTAGATATAAAAAGAATTTTTTCAAATAATTTCCTAGGCGTAATTCAGAGGCATCCTTGCTGTCTGTATCATAATGTGCTAGAGTCCTTCAAATAAAATTATAGAGTAATTTAAAATATATATTATACGTTTGCAATTATACATTTGCAATTATTGTAAATCACTCAATAGTTTGTAGCATGTTAATGGAGTGAAAGAGATAAAAGGCAGTCCACATTCATATTTGCAAGATAAATTTACTTCAGAAGTCAACTGAATTCCTTGCTCATGTTCTAAGTATGGCCATTGTGATAAGACCTGAAAGAAAAAAAAAATGAAGAAAAGTTAAAGCCGTGCATTTTACATAATCTTCCATTCAATAAGTAATTGTTTAGGCCCCAATGAGCAAATAAAATACAGCACATGGACAGGCACTCTACCAAGAATTCAAAGTCAGTGTGAACAGTTGATATTATACACAAGAAATCCAATTTATAGCAATGGGCAGTCACTGGACAGATTTAATTAAATCACTAATGTCTGGCCATAGCTAATTTTTTAACCATCAAAAATACCTCCCGCTTTATCCAGTCACATCAGCCACAATAGCAGACACGGCATTTTCAAGTATCAGTAAAGCCCGCCAACTTCATCGACAATCACATTCCGAGCCCATCCCGGGGCTCTAGGACCACAAAGAGACAGAAGCATAGTATTCCTGTTTGGCCTGTCTCTTTTGAAGAGACTCCATACGTAAAACCATAAAAATGTAATAACAGAAGAATATGCTCAGTCCTAAATAAGTGGCATAAGGAAAAAAAGTGAGTGATAAAGTACAGAGAAGGAGAATAATTGCATAGGACCAGGGCAGTCAGAAAAGGTGCCCCAAAAGGTAAAGCTGAAATAAGCCTAAAAGACTGACAGGAATGATAAAGGAGAATGCGATCGGCGGGCATTTCAGGTGAGGGAAGATGGCAAGAGCGAGCACAAGGAGGTTGAGCGGACTCTCAGAATGAGCTTTTCGGGGAATCAATAAATAATCCAACAGGCTCCGATCCAGGATTTATCCAGGGAATCAGCTAGACAAGATTAGCTCAGAGAAGTCACAGAGTGTGGAGAGCCTTAGATGCCAAACTGTGGACTCCTACTTCTTCCTATGGACTTGGGGAACCGCTGAAGGCTCCTCAGTAGGGAGTGGTGGCCGTAAAACCAGACCAGAAGGGAAATCGGTCTAACAGCAATGTGATGGAGCATTTGGGAGAAAATAAAGGGCAAGGGTGTGTGTGGGGGGGGGGGAATAGGAAGAGAAGGGACACAGACAGAAGGTGGGGTGTCATATTTAGAAGACAATTTTTCAATTAAAAAAAAGAGACAAGGGGGCGCCTGGGTGACTCAGTCGGCTGAGCGTCCATCCGACTCTTGATTTCAGCTCAGGTCACGATCCCAGGGCTGTAGGATCGAGCCCCGCACCGGGTTCCATGCTGAGCATGGAGTCTGCTTAGGATTCTCTCTCTCTCCCCCTGCCCTACCCGCTGCTCACCTGTGCTCTCTAAAAAATTTTTTTAAAAATTAAAAAAAAAAAAAAAAAAAGAAGAGCATTCCAAGGAATACTGAAAGAATACTGAAGACTTGGCGTCTCAGAAGAGGTGCCAGGAGACCACGAAGACAGGGTCTGTCATCACCAGAACCCTGATCCCTGACACATGGCAGGTACTGAGTAACTGTTCGGTTAAGGTAATTGTAAGATTTCAAGCTAGGATGGCTGAAAGAATAATTTAACAGGAAATATGGGAACGGGCTTAAAGAGAAAGGCTCACGAGGTTCGACAAGGCTGCAGTGTTCACCTAGGTCACTGTATGCACTACGTCGAGGTGATTCCCTACAATCAATTCCTAGAAATAGAAATGCTGGATCGTGGAATACATGCATTTTACATCTTTTACATGTCTTATACCATTGAAAGTCAGCAAAATGAAGATAACTGAATACAGTATTAGGTGCTAGATCAATAGGCTACAAAGAACTAATTGTAGGGGCACCGGGCTGGCTCAGTCACAAGAGCGGGCGACTCCTGATCTTGGGGTCATGAGTTCGAGCCCCACGTTGGGTGTAGAGATTACTTAAATAAATGACCTTCAAAAAAAAAAGAACTCAGTGAAAGCCAAAAATTAAATCTTAAAGTGCACGTTACCTCAACACCCCAACACATGCTTTTGAAGCAATCTTACCTGTTTTTCTAAAAAAAAAAAAAAAAAAAAAAAAAAATTAAACAGGTGTCAGCACCACCGCCACCTCTGAGCCCACACATAGGACCCAAATGCATCCTCCAAACACTTACCTAAGATATAAGCAGCCACTAATTTTTGATTCACACTTAAGTGGAGGTAGAGAGGCACCAGCGATTCCACATCCCCCAGCGTAGGAAGCATCAAAGCCGCAATGCACACCACTCCCAGGAAGACAGTTAGTAAACTAGGTCCTGAAGAGACAGTTCTGTTTTCTGTAAAAAGACAAAAATCCCCGAGCCTGCTTGTTTGAAAAGGACTTAAGACCAAAGTTGGTTCACATAAACTGTCCACCACTCACCAGGATTCTGGTTCTGTCTGACTTCTCTCTTTCCCCAACATTTCCATTCCATGGGGACCTACCTGCTGGACTTATCTGGAAGCCCATAACTGCTGGGCCATTACAGAATAGAGTGGCGAAGTGGCATTATGAGGTAGCGAGCTCCTGCCGAAAGGTCACCATTCTTACCCCGCCCCCAACCTCACCCTAATCAGTTTCACCCCAATGTATTTCTTGTGTCTACTCCATTTTGGAGCGCACTGCCTTCTGAGAGCATCTTAGGTAGGTCTCCAGACAAGTGTGGTCCTAATAACTGTAGCATCCTGCTCCCGTTTTTGAAAATGTTTAAAGCAGCAGAAAGGCACTACTTGAGTGTTTTAAAGCTACCTGTGAAGATTCTTGTCCTCTGCTCTACCCCATTTACAGCCAAGAAGAAAGCAAAAGCAGTATCTGGCAAGTATCCCGCTAAATGAAATAAACCAGTCACAGAAGGACAAATGCTGCATGATTCCACTCACGTGAAGTGTCTAAAAGAGCCGAACTCAGAATCGGAGAGTAGGACGGTGGTTGCCAGGGACTGGGGGGTGTGTGTTTAAAATGGGAGATGCTAATCATGGGCATAAAGTAAAATGAGTAAGTTCTAGAGATCTGCCGTACAACATTGTGCCTATAGTTAACGCTACTGTATCGTGCACTTAAAAATGTGTGAGTAGGGCAGATCCCGTGTTAAGTGTTCTTACCACGATCAAATAAAATTAAAAAAAAAAAAAAACCACGATCAGGCCTGCTATTCGACAGTTCTGGCTGTATGTGTACAATATTCATGGCCATATTTTTAAGAAACCCAGTAACAGTACATTCTGTCATCTAGCTTTTCACACCACCCTTCTTTCATTAAAAGGAATAGCCAACAGCAACACAATCTGGTGTTTTATTAATGAAATAACGCTGCTCATTTTATTATTAAATGCAGCTTTTCTAAATTATTAACACCTTAGCTGTTGCATGAAGTTTAATGGAGCCTTGCCAAAGCCACACAGGTGAAAACAAATTCAGATTCTGTAGTGATTACTGCTTGAGATGAAACCATAGCATAAATACCGAAAAACAAGTCTTATGTTAGTTAATAAATGAAATATCTTTATATCTGCTGCAGAGGTAGGCTTTCAAGGACGACATTTGTTTGTGAAAACTACACTGCTGGCTACAAACCCACAATAAAGATCATCTCAAGGAACTTTTAGTATTTAGAAAAATTCCAAAGACATTTGCATAGATGCTTGAAATCTTTCAAAAGGGAAATTGCTTTTTTGCTGAAACTACAAGATTGTTGCAAAGGTTTTACAGAGATGGAGAAAACAGTTTCCTGACCGGTCCCATCCCCCCAGAGGGAACACGGTTAAGGCTTGATACAGATCCTTTTGGATTTTATAAATACCCATATAAACATGTAAAAACTTTTTTTTAACATAAATGAGACCATAATATACACAGTGTTCTATAACTGTTTTTTCCTCTCAGAAATACATTTGAGCCTCTTAGTAGGTCAATGTATAACCATCTATCATTCTATCAGATCCTTGTAAATAAATGCCTGCCTGGCATCCCATCTCATGAACGCTCATAATTTAATCAATCCCCAATCGATGGACTTTTAGGTCATTTTCAGTCTTTCACTGTTACAAACAGTAATGACGACTGTAATTTTCTTAAGCCAGAGGGCACGGACTCAAACACTGCATAGACAGGGCAGTTCATTAGTAATATCATTAAGACAGACTCACTAAGGTTCAGCTGCATCTTTTCAAAACATCTTCCTAATAAACCTGGGCTGTGGTCGTTTGTAAAAGTATGCTTTGCGGGTTTCTCTTAAATTTCTGTTAAATGAAAAAAAATGTATGTATGAGTGTATTCACGCACATAGACGAGGTCTGGAAAGTAACACGGAACACTTACATAAGCAGATCTGTGAAGTGTGTGGGACTGTAGGTGCTGTCTTCCTTTTTGAATTTGTTACTGCTATGTCTTTTCTAGTACAATCAACTCGAGAAGACAGTTCTCATTTTTACTGCCTTTCAATACATTTATAAAACCCAAATCTTTCATGATCTAGCCTTTGACCATTTTCTGGCTGGTTCGCGGAGGCTCACAACGCTGTTGCCCTTGTAATATGTCTAATAAACATCTTTCTGAGCCAAAGATGTGCAAAACTAAGGACAGTTCAAAACCTCCCCCCAAACAATCTCGATTCGTTTCAACATTTCGGTTTAGAGAAACTCAATGAAAAAGTGTAGAATTCTACATACCGGAAACCAGACATAATTTACTATGAATTTAATAAACAGGAGAAGCGACAAATACTACTTTGTCAACATAGACTCCATCAGTCACCCTTATACTCTATTAGAGAAGAAAACTTTACTTGGTTTCCTGCCACATTAGAAACATTGGGGTAACTACTCGCTAACTGGACAGCTCGGTCAGGACTTCATATGGGGCTCTACTGCGGTATCCCCTTTGCTCTGAAGACTGGCGAGAGCCATGGAAACCTTGTAAGACAAAGAAAACCAAGCCAACAGACCCTGCCAGATGAGAAGTCCAGGCCTCCTAGTGAAGGCCACGTACACACTTCCTGTGTAACTACCCTGTGCCGGGCACTGTGCTAGGTGCCGAGGACATGACGGTCAATGAGACAAGTAAGGTGCTTGCCTTCCTTCAGCTTCCCGACATGGCTGGCTTAGAGAGGTTTTTTTGTTTTGTTTTCAAAACAGAAATCACCTCATTCATTTACCTACTTTGATTTCACAATTAGAAGGATTTCCTAACACACTTCAGATACCAAAGGATCATTATCAAAGTAAAATAAGAATAAAATGCTCAATTAATACACGCTGTAATTAGTTAACCTTTTAGGATGATTTTCACCAGAACTGTAATAAATTTTAAACTAAAGGAAATATCTATCGATAGACAGATAGATAGATAGATAAAACTGAACTTTTAACCCTTATGTTTTTTGGCTATCAAACTGGTCTGTTGGGGACCTGGGTGGCTCAGTCGGTTGAGCACCTGACTTCGGCTCAGGTCATGATCTCACGGTTTGTGAGTTCAAGCCTCATGTCGGGCTCTGTGTTGACAGCTCAGAGCCTGGAGCCTGCTTCGCATTCTGTGCCTCCCTCTCTCTCTGCCCCTCCTCTGCTTGTGCTCTGCTCTTTCTCTCTCCCCAAAAAATAAAGAAACACTAAAAAAAAAAAAATGTTTTTTAATAAAATAAACTGGTCTGTTAAAAACAGAAATGAGCCAATGATGCATTTTTGAATTTAACCTCAAAAAACAAATCCTCATTATATGACTCTTCTTATTCTACAGAAGGCATTTTACAGGGGGAATCTTGCATTTCATAAATATTTACAAGTCAACTTCGCAATACTGATCGGAGATCAAAGCGACATTTACCAGAGGTTCTCTTTCAGCTTCAAAAGCTGAAAATCTGGTCCTGGCTGCTACCTAGTCCCTGGTCTTGGTACAGCAGAAAATCTGGGCGCTGCCTGCATGGACAGAGAAGACTCTTGCCTACAGTAAATCAAAGAGGCATTACTCCCTGTGGTATCCAAATAAACACTCTAGGATGAACAAACTGATAGGGATCTGTGAATTAATGTACTGACAAGCAGATTTGTTTTTAATTCCTCATAGATAATGTTGCAATTTCAAGGACAGCTGCTATCACATTCATCTATCACTATCAAAAAGTTTCCATGTGTTTCTATGGAAAATTTTATCTTCCTCCTCTTATAATAGGGTTGGAAGAAGATAATGAGAAGTTAAGAGGGAGGAGGACTGACGTCCAAAGAGTTGACTATGAGGATAGTGTCAATGTTGAAAGAATATATCATAACGCTTCTGAATATCTAAGCTGGAAGGAAATGAGGAATGGAGAGGGATTCAATTAATAGCCCACAGGGGATATTATAATCTACTTAGTTTAATTAACTTCAACTTTAATGAGATTTTTTTTTTTTTTTCAAAATAATATGAACGGTGCACCAAGCTTGGCCTATTGCCAAACACAATCTCTCTCCTTCTTCGAACTAATTAAATGAGAAAGGATACGGGAAAGTCACAGAAACAAAAGTATGTAACTGCCAAATTGCGCTGGCCCCATCGAGCGCGGTAGCTGCATTCTCAGGCCACACACACGTAAAAGGCCATGGCAACCCTGTCCTGACGGCCTCGGCTGCTGCCGAGACGCTTTCTCCCTGTTTCAAGGCTAGCTCGAGGCCTCTTGCTTGACGTTAGGGTACCAGATCTCTAAGTTCGGTTTGGAAGTAGTTAATTAGGTTTAAGGGGGCAGATCAGTTTTCTAGTAATGATTCTTAGCTCCCTGTTTTCAAGTTAGACATGCATAAGACCTCCAAAGGGCTTTCAAAGCAAACCCAAGACTACCTGGTTGAAAGGACTGCTCAAAAAATAAACTTTCAGTTAAATGTTCCTTTATCCTTTTTTCCTCTTCTTCCTTTTGTTGTTCTTTTGCAGACGGGAGAAGAGTAGCCACAACCTCTTTCCTTCCTAAAGCCTTCCTCTGGCTTTGCTCGGAAACTTGGAGACGGAATTTGTCCGTTACACCATAGTGACAGGATCGAACGTCTCTATGACGAATCACACTGAAAACATTAAAAAATAAATGCTGTTTAGGTTTCTGGGGGCCTGTCAAACAGAATTCAGCCAGAGATTTCATACAAGAGAACATTAACTGACTTATACCCAAATACTCAAATACAGAAATTGGCTAATGATGTTAAAACAAAATCACAGCACAGACCAAAAGGAAATGGGTGGTTCTAAAACACTCGATGAAAACACAGGGCGCCTGGGTGGCTCAGTCGGTTAAGGGTCCAACTCTGGATTTTGGCTCAGGTCATGATCTCACAGTTCATGAGACTGAGCCCTGTGTCGGGCTCTGTGCGCTGACAGCGCAGAGCCTGCTTGGGATTCCCTCTCTCCCTCTCTCTCTGCCCCTCCCCCGCTCATGCTGTGCAATCTCTCACTCTCTCAAAATGAATAAACTTAAGAAAATGTCTTAATAAAATCTCTGATGAGAACACATACTCTGCAACATAGAATAAAACTCTCAGGTGGGGTGCCTGGGTGGCTCAGTTGGTTAAGCATCGGTCTCTTGATTTCGGCTCAGGTCGTGACCTCACAGTTTGTGAGTTCGAGCCCCGCATCCGGCTCTGCGCTGAAAAGGCTGCTTGAGATTCTCTCTCTCCCTTCTCTCTGCCCCCACCCCACTTGCTCGCTCTCTCTCTCTCAAAATAAATAAGTAAATGTAAAAAATGTTTTTAAAGTCTGAAGTAAAAGAAAACATAGGTAAAGAAAATTCCTTTTAGCAATGGCATTTTTTTCCCCCTGATATCTGTGGGCAGCAAAAGTTACTAAATAGGACATGTGTAAGATGGTTTCTTCCTCACAAAAGTCTCATCGACTTCTACTGACACTTATCATTCACGTAACAAACCTCACCTAGACTCAGAATTGCAAGTCTATGCACACAGGTAAAAACAAGCAATTGAATAAGTAAATAACCCAGTATGACCACTGTCAACCAGAAGGCTAACCAGAAGGCTGACAACGCACTTCTGTGTTCCTCTGAAAAGAGTCTAAAGCACTTCAATTTTTATGAGAGTTATCTGCAATTCCATTTATTTTGCTTCGTTGTTAATAGAGAACACAAACCGATTAGGTCAAAGATAACACGTTTATTTGGCAAGAGACTACATTTCTTTGGAGTAGTCCTTTGCTTACTGTGTATTGAATGAAAATCAAAAGAAACCTGTGAAAACACGTCCTCTAAAGATATATCATCTTACGGACAGGAGAGGATGAAAATGTGTTCGGACAAAAAACACGTGTGCTTCTCATTCTCATGGAAGATTTAAACAAATATGGTTTACTCGGTAGCTTAAATTAAGAGCTGGTCAATGGCGGGGCGCCTGGGTGGCTCAGTCAGTTGAGCGTCCGACTTCAGCTCAGGTCACGAACTCGTGGTTCACGAGTTCGAGCCCCGCGTCAGGCTCTGGGCTGACAGCTCGGAGCCTGGCGCCTGCTTCGGATTCTGTGTCTCCCTCTCTCTCTGCCCCTCCCCCGCTCATGCTCGCGCTCGCTCGCTCTCTCTCTCTCTCTCCCTCTCTGTCAAAAATAAATAAAACATTTAAAAAAAAAATTTTTTTTAAAGAGCTGGTCAATGGATCCATCTGGTCACCACTGGCTCCAAAGTGAAAATTAAATATGAAGAGCTTGAACAAATAATCATTTATCTGACACCCTAAGACGAAATTATCTGGAAGAGCTCAGATAACCTTTTACAGATGAGCAGTCACACACTTCCTTCCTGTGTGTATAGATTAACTTCCAGGCTTATTAGCTGAATCATTTCAGATGAACTCACATTACCATCGTTCTGTGAACGTAGTGTTATTCGTTTCCCAAATGCCGCTATAATAGGATGTTCCGAAGAAAGCTAAATTCCCTATTACAGCTAGAGAAATTTAAAAGAATAAGTCAGAAGTTTACCTTCATAAATGACCCTGCTCTGACTAAAAGCACAACAATGAGGAAATGTTCGTGGACGTATTAACACACATATCAGCTCCAACACCATGAAATACTATTAAGTATTTGGTCAACCCGTTTGGAATCTTAGGGACTTCTTAAGAATTTTGAGACTAAAAACTTCCAGCAGAAATTCAAAATATATCAAATGCCTATGTGGGAACGGCTTCAGGACGAGAGCCTTTTCAAGTGAAACACATAAATACGAACACACTTAAAACATGTTACCGGGAAGTGATTTCGACTTACATATCCACACAACACTGAGGCTTTACTGCACCTGCAGCATCGACGACAACATACTTATTTGGAGTAGTACACAAAACTGAAAGAAAAAGTCACAATGGCCATTAGTGTTTTTTAAAAATTAGTTTCTACAAGTAAAAAATTAGTAGGGACTAGTTAAAACTCCATGAAATAGACCTGGGAGACTCACCTTTGAACTTTAAGGCAAACTCATAGGGATTATACAGAGTCAACACTTGCTTATGTGTTGACTGGTCATCTGCATAAAATATTAGCTCCGTGGGAAACACAAAAACAGGAAGATTTCCTTCCACTAACTCTGGCTGTCTTTTTTGTTGATGCATTGGCACTGAATCCCCCTTGCTGCGGCTTCTGTTTTTACAGTCTCAAATCTATTTTGGACTTTTCTTAAGTCAGTTAGTTAAAAACTCCAAAGCATTTTGGCAATCTAGAAAGAGAAGAAGAGAGAAGGAAACCGAATGATACCTGTTTTCATTTGTTGTCCCTCCACAAAAAAGCATGTTCAGCTTGCATTAAAATAGGTCCCCAGGGGCGCCTGGGTGGCGCAGTCGGTTGGGCGTCCGACTTCGGCCAGGCCGCGATCTCCCGGTCCGTGAGTTCGAGCCCCGCGTCAGGCTCTGGGCTGGTGGCTCGGAGCCTGGAGCCTGTTTCCGATTCTGTGTCTCCCTCTCTCTCTGCCCCTCCCCCGTTCATGGTCTGTCTCTCTCTGTCCCAAAAATGAATAAAAGTTGAAAAAAAAATTTTTTTTAATAAAATAAATAAATAAATAAATAAATAAATAAATAAATAAATAAAATAGGTCCCCAAATCATTTTAAAGATACCTTTTGACTTTTCCTCTTGGCCTACTTACACGGTTAGTACCAAACTATGCAAAGAAATTTACACACACTCCTTCACATTCAAGATTTCAACCTATGATAAATTACATAAATGCTAGCATAAAGAAGTGTTTCCACCTCAAATTAATCACCCTCTTCCAAAGAGGTGCGATCACGGACAGCACTCTTTTAAAACCTCGGATTTCTTAAGAAGTGGAATAAATCAGGGGCGCCTGAGTGGCTCGGTCGGTTGAGCATCCGACCCTGGATTTTGGCTCAGGTCACGATCCCAGGGTTGTGGGACTGAACCCCATGTCAGGCTCCACGCTCAGCATGGAGCCTGTCTGAAATTCTCCCTCCCTCTCTCTTTCTCTCTCGTTTTCTCCCTCTCTCTCTGCCCCTCCCCTGCTCGCACTCCCTCTTAAATAAACCAACTTCTCTAAAAGAGAATAAATCAAGTATTGTCACAACTGACTTTATGTGAGCTAACCAGACTTCTTAAAGACTAAAAAGTATAAAACAAAGGAAGTTTCCGTGATTTGTGGGAGAAAAACATGAGACTTACTTTCACACTCATTTCGACCATGCTTTAGTCAGTGCTTTCTGGCCGCATGGGTGGAAGAGTTCTTTTCATCTTTTTTCTACCGAAAACCCAAGACAAGCAAAAATGTCTTGAAAGGAAGCTGAATATCCAGACTTGTTAAGGAGTCCTTGGGAGTCTTCTATGAAAATTCAAAGTCAGTAAATAGGCTGTGGCATGCAAGTGGCACTGTGCCTCCCCTCCTACGTCAAGTACACAGGCTTCGTGAGAACTATTTGCTTCCAGCTTAGAGACCTTTTGGATTCCTTCTGGGGTTCTCGAGTATGTTCTGAATAGTTGTGGCTGGCAGAAGTCTGACGGTCTGGTGTGTGTGATGTTTCTGTGTTTGTTTCTCGGGCTAATTTTAATCAACAACGTTCCGATTTAGCTACCATCCTAAGAATGTGGCTTTTGAAAATGCAGAAGCTGGAACGACGCGATCACAGGAAATGTCTGATTTTTCACTCGGTAGAGCATACCTTTAAAATAGGCCATACACCACTTAATACTTTGCGTTCAGGTTCCCACACAGTCAAAGAGAAATAGAACAGAAGATTAAGCTGTTTGGTTTTACCAGCTATCAGGGGCCTGTGTGCTGATTCTGCCTGAGGCCTTTCTAACTTTCATCGAGGAAGATACTGTGTAATCATGGATACACGTTTTTATTCTTTCCTTTCAGCTGAACACCTGTTATAAGCCAGCAACTATGTCAGGGGCTGTGCAGAGATACACAGAGGGCCCTGACCTCAAAAGACTCGAGTCTAACTGATGGAACAATATTTAATCTACCCCTGTCATGAGGCACACCACTCTATATAAAAGTGCTAGGCATTTACAAGACTACCTGAGTTAGTCTTCCTGGAAGAGGGGCCAAGGGACGACATTTGAGGTAGTTCCTAAAGAAACAAAAGATATATACTTCTGTGTCTGGGGGGAGGGTGGGGGCCACAGGTAGGAAAGGCTCTCTGACCTAGGGAACGGCCTATGCCAAGTCACAGAAATGCGGAGGTGAGGGACAACACTGGGAAGGTCATAATCTCCAAGCTTTCCCGGATCATCATTTGACTTATCCTTATACTTTGTGGCACACGTGTAGCTCATGACAGCTGTGGGGTGGTTTTGTGTTTGGGGTTTTTTTGACCAAGCTGAAAGGGCCTATTGACATTTCTATTAGTAATAACATTTAATATGTGTATAATTCATAACAGATTACAAACTTTTTATTAATTACGCATACTGAATTAATTAATTCATGCAATGCTTTTAGCACTTACTGTAGGCCAGGCAATGTTCTAAGTGTTTGCTGGGGTTATTAAATGAGGAAGAGACTAGACAGAGACAATAAAGTCAGCAGGCCTCCTGCCCTCAGTCCGGCGTCTCCACTCTACCAAACTGTCCGTTGTAATACAATAAAAGTAAGATCATTCTGAAGAACATCTGGCGAAATCATTCTAATTTTGAGTTTTTATTTGCCACGACTTTCTGTCTTTTCTTTCACGACTTTTCTGTCTGCTAAGAGCCATACACGTTTCTATTTGGATAATGTGCTCTCAGAAGTCTGGCATATTGTTTTTGACAGAAAATAATTAGCTCTATTACTTGCTCAGTAAGCTTGGCTATTAGAAACAGAACAAACAAGTTTGCCCTCACTAAATAATATTCAACATCTCATTCTGAAACTATGTTAAGATGACAATTTCGCTTATGGTAAAAGGTGGGATGGCCTCTGATTTATGGAAAATAGGTTAGTCGATAAATGTTGGTAAAACCAGGAATCCAACTAGGGGGAAGAAAATAGTTGAATTTATTCCTAACACCTTGTAAAATTCTAAAATTTTATTAGGGTAAATTCCAAATGGATCCAAGTTTTAAATGTAGAAAAATAAAACCATAAAACACCAGAAACCATGGGTCATTTTTTTTTATATAATCTGAGGCTTTCTAACAACCAGAAACCAAAATATATTGATCAATTCAACTGTATAAAAACTCTTAAAACACTGCAAGACAAGAAAACTTTTAAGCAAAGCCAAAAGAACATTTTCAATCACAGGCCATGTCTAACTCCCCTACTGTATGTAGAGGAAATATAAATCACTATGAAAAAGCACTCTATAAAAATGAGCAAATGCTACAATATTTTATAGAAACTGACATACTGGGTGCTGGGTGGCTCAGTCTGTTAAACATCTGATTTCAGCTCAGGTCATGATCTCATAATTCAGGAGTTCGAGTCCCACATCAGGTGAACACAAGCCCCACTTTGGGTGAGCCCTGCTTCTGTGTCTCTCTCTTTTCTCTCTCTGCCCCTCACTTACTTGAGCCCTCTTGAAAGAAAGAAAGAAAGAAAGAAAGAAAGAAAGAAAGAAAGAAAGAAAGAAAGAAAGAAAGAAAGACACAAATTGTTTTTAAACTTACCAAAGGCCATGTAACTTCATTCACAAGAGAAATACAAACTAAAGCTATACTGAAACACGTTATTACTTGTCACATTGGCAAAAATCAAAAAGTTTGAGGGGTGCCTGGGTAGCTCAGTCAGTTAAGCATCTGACTTTTTTTTTTTAATTTTTTTTTTCAACGTTTATTTATTTTTGGGACAGAGAGAGACAGAGCATGAACGGGGGAGGGGCAGAGAGAGAGGGAGACACAGAATCGGAAACAGGCTCCAGGCTCCGAGCCATCAGCCCAGAGCCTGT